CAAGCCCTGAAGAACACATTGCCGGGGGAACACAGGTAAGGATCCTGGAAGGAGCTAAGCATTCTTGAGGCCCCGGGTTCAACTAAAAGATATAAAAACCACAAAACACTTCAGGGAGGAAGGGCCTGCTGACTCTTTCTACTGCTTTAGTTTGGCTGTCCCCTAGGAGAGAGCTCCCTTTTATTCCTGCTGCCAGCCACACCCTGTCCCCAGGGCAATGCTGGCTACCTCTCTTCCACAATGGCTCAGGGAGACAAAGATGAGAGCCCCCAGAGAGGAAGGGGAACTCAAGGCCCTGTCCCTTCAGAGCTCTCTTGATGTTAACCTCCCAAATCTGGTGTTTTCCCTTGCAAACCGGCAAGAGTTGTCCTCAAAGAACAGAGCCATGACCCAGGGCTGGCGGTCTCCCAGGAAGCACACAGAAGAGGAACAGCTACTGCCCCAGCAACACTTACTAGTTTGGGAAACAGTATTTGGGAATCTGATCTCCAGCGAAGCCAGCCTTGATCACTCCTGAACCCTGCAAGGAAAACAATGTTTAGCTTCTGACATTCACCTTCAGGTGTGGAGAGCTGGCTGTTGCACCAACAGAGGCCAGGGAGGAGACCGCCGTTCTTGCTGAGAAAACAGGAACATTACAATACACCAGTGGTTCAAAACTGGGGGTGATTTTGTATCCCCATGTTGGAATATCTGGCAGTGTATGGTTTCTGAAGGAGGTATACAAGGGAGGGGTTCCGGTGACACCCAGCGGGAAAGCCAGGGATACTGCTAAACATCCTACAGTGCACAAGCCACAGTCATGAATGACAATGATCCAGACCAGAAGGTCAACTGAGCAAAGCACAGGGAACTAGGCAATGCGTCCTTCTCTGTAAGCTCTCCGGCTGGTTCCTCCCAAAAGACATCTAGAAGCAAACTCTTAGGGCAGTTTTTCCCAACAGCCCCCTTTTCCCTTCCCCAGCAGAAAAGGGGAAGACAGGGCCTGCCAGGGAAAGATGACTGGGTGCACAAAAGGACTGGTGCTTTTCCTCAAGTGGCTTCCCATGAGATTCCCAGGAGAACTTGGTCCAGGCACTGCTCCAGCCTGGAAGTTGGACTTAGGATCTCAAAATGAACCTAGCATCTAATAACCATGCCAGATCTTTTCAACACCTCTTCCCACCCATCTCCACCACAGCCCTCTGGGTTGGCAGCGTAGAAATAGACATCCCCCAGTTATAGAGGAGGGGCTGGACAACCAGAGGGGCCAAGTGGTTGCCCTTGGAACTCATAAGTTTGTTGATAAATTATGTGAATTATTTGCCCACCAAGAAGGGAAGCAGCTGGTCTGAAGCACGTCCCCAATTCCAATTCTAGTCTCAGTGTTCGCTGCCTGCTATGACTCAGGCAAGCCCACATGAGTACTCCAAAAAAGGCGGCCATTCAGGGACCCCACCTGGGTCATGTGGAACAGAGACAGAACCCCAGAAAGAGCAGAGGAAAGTCATTATTATAAACTACAAGGCCTGCACACCAGAAGCATCAGCTAGAGGCACTTGCACAAACCCCAGCCCTTCTCTTCTCCCCATGTCAGGCTCTAAGGCCAGAAATCTTCCTGAAAAGCAAGCCTGAGTGAGCCCCAATGCTGAAGGACAAGGCCACAGGAAGCCAGACATCATCTTTCTCCTGAGGCTTCCAAACAATGACCCCAAACTGCATCTCAGTGCTGAGAAGAGTGGCCTTGAACTCTCTACTGTTCCACAGGCTGTGGAATTTCTGCCCTACCCAGGAGTACTTAAGGGGAGAGGGTCAAAGCCGCCAAGAGACCATCCAGGTGATGGTGAATATGTGGCTGGTGGAGAGTAACTTGCATTTTTTGCTACGGGGTGCAGTCCTCTTGGTAAGTGTTTTAAACATCACCAGGTCAAACCCCTCCAAAAGATGAGGCCAGAAGTGTGCAAAAGGGCAAATGCCAGCCCACCTTCTCAGGTGGCCAGAGCCAGGGCGAAAGGATGAGCAAAAGGGGCTGGGGCCCAAACTTGACCAATGATTCTACTCTCAACGGACAGGGTCCGGGATGCGTCCACGGGCCTGATGCATAGGTGCACCCGATGGACGCCTGGCTGTCGCTCCAGCTGCCTCGGACTTCCTGGGTTCCCCAAGGGGGCTCTGCTTCGCGACCGGGATGCTGGTCCAAGGCCAGGGCAAAAGGGCCAGGTGGCCTTTTCACCCAGGCCTTGGAACCGAGCGGCCCTGCAGGGCAGCGAACCTGGGAACGGGCCGAGCCAGGCTGGGGTCCCTCCCCGCGCCGCCGCGTGCACCCCCGGGGGCGGGACACCCACCCTCCCCCCGGCTGCTGGGCCTCACGTTGTCGATGACCACGGGCTGGTTGGCGATGATGTCGTAGGACTCCATGGCCGGGCAGGGCCGGCCCTGCCCAGCAGGAGGGCTGCAGGAGGGACCAGCGGGCGGGCGGGCGGACTGGGACAGCTGCGACTCCCGACGCGATGCCGCGCCCCTCCCCCTAAACGCGCAGCCTACGCGAGCCCCGCGGGGCTTTCAGGAGGGCGGCCCGCGGCCAATCAGAACTCCCACCCGGCCCGATTGACGTCGGCGCCAGGGCCAGCCGCGGGGGAGGAGGGCGTGGCCTCCGGAGACCGGTCGGCCAATCGAGGCCGTCCGCAAGAACGGCGGGGCGTAGCCAAGGTAGGCTGCGCGGCGTCGGGGGTGACGTCATGGCTCGCTTCTTAAAGGGTACCCGGGCAGGTCTGCGGGTCCCCGCGTGCGGCGGCGAGTTCGCCTGTCCAGGAAGACGCTTTCCCGGTGCCCCAGCACCTCGGCCACGCTCTTGGTGCGCGCACCTTCCCCAAGGAGGCCAGCTCTGGGTGTTTCATCCAAAGAATTTCCTTATTAAACACGGAGAGGGATCCCATTCCTTGTAAAAATATCACACTTTCGTGGTAATTTGACATTGGCGTTTATTGAGCGCTTGGTGTGTGTCTGCAGAGCGCTTCTAAGAATGTATAGATTTTATATTAGATCCCCATAACAGTTCTACCACGTAGTTGTGTTGTTGTTGGTGGTTTCATTTTGCAGGTGAGGTAACCGAGGAGTGTCATAGTACTTGTCTAATTTGTCCAAAGTTACGGAGCTGTGCTGGGGTCAACTGCTGCAACCCTGCAAGATAATATGCGTCCTAAACTCATTTACCAGACTGATCTGTAATTATTTGTCTCAGCATATACCTTTTCCATTAGACATGAGCTTGAACTTTATAAAGTTTTTTTATTTTGACACAGGGTCTGGCCAAGTCACCCAAGTTTGCCTCAAAAACTCGCAGTCCTCTTGTCTCAGCCTTCCAAGCCTCTGGTACTACAGGCTGTGCACAGTGCCCAACTGATTTTAGGCCATCTCAGCCTGCTGTGTTTTCTTTTTGCAGAGACCAGCAATCAGAAGTGAAAGAGTTGGAGCCCAGGTTAGCAGTTATTTTTCTATTTGAGGTTGGACATCTTCTGCTTCTGGTTATTTTAAGAGTGTGGGTTGTGTGATGTTTTATGTGGGTTTTTATTTTGGGGCGGGGGGTTGAACTCAGGGGCACTCAACCACTGAGCTATGTCCCCAGCCCTATTTAGTATTTTATTTAGAGACAGGGTCTCACTGAGTTGCTAAGGACTTACTTTTGCTGAGGCTGGCTTTGAACTCGTGATCCTCCTGCCTCAGCCTCCTGGGCCACTGGGATTACAGTTGTACCTGGCTTCTGTGTTCTTTTTATACTTTTTTTGTTCTATATTTTGTTTTTCAAAGATATTTTAGAGAAATAAGACTTATACTACTGCCATGTCATAGATTGTTATGTTCCCCCAAATTTAGATGTTGAAGTCCTAATCCTCAGGACCTCAGAATTTGAGCATATTTGGAGATAGGGTCACTATAGAGGTAATTTTGTTATACCAAGGACATTAGGGTGGGCTCTAATTTAATATGCCTGGTATCCTCATAGGAGTAAATTAAAACACAGGTATATGTAAAGGGAAGGAGATATGCAAACACAGAGAGGGGACAGTCATCTGCAGGCCAAGTCCTAGAAGGGACCCTTCCTTCACAGCACTCAGAAGGAACCAACCCTGCCAACACAGTGATCTCAGATGTCAGCCTCCAGGACTGTGAGATGATAAATTCTTTTGTTTAAGTTATCCATTTTGGGATACTTTGTTATGGCAGCCGTAGAAAACTAATACAACTGAACTCTCTAGGATTCTACTCTATAACTTTTGTGTAACTTTTTGCCTCTGTAAGATTTCTTCCATCCCAGCCATGGCTACATAATTTAGGGGACCCACCACAAAATGCAGGAAAAAATAGGGGAAAAACTGTAGTTAAAGATTCCACCCACACAAATTTTTCTCCTTTGAAAATAGTCTAATACTTATAAAACATAATAGGGGAAATGGTATTTATGAGAAATATATTAGTGAGTCAATGCAGGTTTCAGTGTTATAATTTAATAACATTGTAACAGTCAGCTTTCCCTCACTGTGCCAAAATATCTGAGATAATCATGTTAATAAGAGGAAAGGTTTTTTTTTTCTTTTTCTTTTTTTTCAGCTCATTGTTTCAAATGTTTCAGTTCTTGGTCACTTGGCCCTGATGCTTTTGGTACTGTGGTGGCAGGAGCATGTAGCAGAGGAGGCTGCTCACCTCGTGGAAAGCAAATAGGAAGGAAGGAAGTGACTGTTGTCCCAATATTGCATGGCCCCAGTGACTTCCTTCCTTTAAGCCCTATCTCCCCCCAAGGTTTCATTACCTCCCAATAGTGCCACAGGCTGGTGACCAATCCTTTAACACATGGGTCTTTGAGGGACATTGCAGGTCCAAACTATAGCAACCATAAGTAACAACACTTTGTTAGTGATGACTTCTTATTTTAATTTTTTTACAATGCCGGAGATGGAACCCAGGACCTCCTGCATGCTTGGCAGGCAAGTTCTCCACCATTGAGCTACATCCCCAGTCCTTTAGTGTGATGTCTTGATCAATCACATGATTTTTCTGGCCTCTTAAGCTGCTTCCAATTTGTCACTTGCATCTTCAGAGTTTTGTTAATATCCAGCTGCCTTCAGGCTGCAGCACGCACAGGACTGGAGGACATCAGATAACCAAGGAGTGAGCAGAGAGGCTACTTGAGGCGCCCAACGCCCCCCTCTCCACACACTTGGGCCCCCTCCCCCATCACCTCTGGAGTGTTACCTCACAGGCCGTGGGTTCCGCAGTATCCTGGAGTTTAAGGTCCTAGAGTCTGAAGGATCCTCAGGAGACTGTCTTCTCCCTGATGGTGTGCAGATGGCAAAAATGAGTGCAGTTGTGATCCTCTTTTCTGTTCTCCTCCTGGACGGCGGGCTGGGTGGAGAGCCCCATCCTTTCCCCCTGATGGAAGGTACTGTGGTAAGCCTGTGGCTGTGGCTGCTGGAGGAGTGTGAGCCTGAGACTCACCTTGAGCCTGAATCAGGTAGGGGCTGGCCCCTCTGCAGGCACCGAGGTGCACAGGCCGTCTCCTGCCCGCCTTCCCTTCCCAGATTCACCGCTTAGGATGCAGAGCTGAGGAGAAGGGGCAACTTTCAAAGTTTCCCTGGCTTTGAGACTTTATCAAGTGTCCAGCTCCTTGGGATTGGACAGCACACCCGTGCATTCCAGCTTTTCTTTCTAAAACTTTTCAAGCATCCATGAAAGTGGGAAATGGGTATTCAGCACTGCCACATGCCAATCATCCTGATCTTATCTGTTCCCCCCCACCCCCGAAATGGTTTTTAAAATAACGGCTTTATGGGGATAGAGTTCACACACTATAAAATTCACCTTTTTTGAGGGGGAGTGAGCCCAGGATACACTGCCACTGAGCTACACCCCAACCCTTTTTATTTTTTGAGACAGGGTCTTGCTAGTTTACTGAGGTTGGCCTCAAACTTGCAATCCTCCTACCCTAGCCTCCCCAGTCACTGGGATGACAGGTGGGCACCACTGTTCCAGCTAAAAAATTCCCTTGATCCCATGAGTTCTAGACCAGCCTACACAACATGGTGAGACCCTGTCTAAAAAAAAGAAAAGAAAAAAAAAATCACCCTTTTAAAAGCATATAATTGCTGGGTATGGTGGGGCACATGTGTAATCCCAGTGACTTGGGAGGCTGAGGCAGGAGGCCTGCAAGTTCCAGGCCAACCTCAGCAACTTAGTGAGACTCCATCTCAAAATTAAAAAAAAAAAAAAAAATAAGGACTTGGGTTAAATCCTCAGAACCCAAATAAATAAATAAAGATTGTTTAATTTTGCAGAGTTTAGTAAATTCACAGATTTGTGAATTAGATAAGTGATTTCTTTTTCCTCTAGTGCTGGGATGGAACCCAGCCCTCTACCACCGAGTTCCATCCCCAGCCCCTATCTAATTTTGGAGCATTTTCACAGTTCTGTAGATTGCTCTAGATCTTTTGTGTAAATGGAGCCATACCACACTTGGACCACTGGCTTCTTTCACTCAGCGTGTTTCCAGTTTCGTCCACGCTGTAGCACGTGTCACCCCCTCATTCCTTCTTGTGGCCAAATTACATTCCATTGCATGGACCTCGTTTGGTTTATCCTGCCATGCAGGACAGTAGATCTGTCCTGCAGACGTGGAAAGATGGCCAGTGAGTGTCCTACAACTCAGGAGCTTCATCATTTCAAATAAAAAATAAAAAGGGGTGGGAACGAAGCTCAGTGGCAGAGTGCCCCAAGGTCAATCCCCAGTAACACACACACACACACACACACACACACACACACGCACATGTGAATTTTATAGTATGTGAATTCTATTTCCATAAATGACACAGGGTGGCAGCAGGAAAAGGGTAGAAAATACCTATTCTTGTCAGGACACTGAGAGACCCACAGGGTTTCTGTGACATTACTTCATGTGTTTACAGGGTAACTTGAACTTCCTTTATTATTGATTCTTAGTGATTCACAAACATCTGAGCAAAAGAAAACTTATCATACCTGGAAGCAATATCCATGTACCATTAAAGACCTGGTGGTCAGCTGGGCGTGGTGGCATGTAGCTGTAGTCCAGCTACTAACATGGCTGAGGGGCAGGAGGGTGCCTTGAGTCGGCGGTTCCGGATCAGCCTGGGCAACATAGTAAGACCCTGTCTCTTAAAAAAAAAAAAAAAAAAAAAAGAGGCCACTTTGGTGCAGGGTGCACATCTGGAATCCTTGTGGCTCGGGAGCCTGGGAGGATTGCCAGTTTAAAGCCAGCCTCAGCAACTCAGTGAGATCCTGGGGATGTAGCTCACTGGTTAAGTACCCCTGGGTTTAATTCCTAGTATCAAAAAAAAAAAAAAAAAAAAAAAAAAAGCCTAACAACCAATTTTCCTACAGAGTTGAAAGCTTTTGCATGCACAAATTACTCAGCTGCCCAGTCCTTAGATTCAGCTTGTCAGGAAACCCTGTGACAAATGAGCTTTGTTACTGGGTTAGGAACTGCAGATTCTTGGAGCTACTTCTTGAAAGCTCTGTGACACTTAGAATAGGTGGGCACTGTGATCCTGCTATCCCCTTTGAAGCGGGGAAGGTTTCTCTTTCCTGATGGGTTTGTACAGTTGCAGAGAAAAAAAAAAAGTTGGCCTAGACCTTGAATCAAAAAAATGTGTCCCAGAGCTGAGCCATCTCAACCTTGATCCAGAAAAGCCTGAGGGCTGGGGGCATGGCTCAGTGGCAGAGCCTGTGCTTTGGGTGCATGAGGCCCTGGGCTCCATCCCTGGCACCCACACACATACACAAGAATGAAATTACAGCTCAAAAATCTCTACAGGTCGGCATAGTCTGTTAGCATCAGTCATTGGCGTCCATGAGACGGCCGCGTGCGTACTGGGGAGTGTTGAGATCAGTCTGTGAAGTCCTGGGGAGATTGTTGGTCAGCCCACTTCCACAGGCACCTTTGGCTTTTTATTCATCCGTGATAACATCAGGAGCTCCTTGGCACCTAATGGAAAGGTCACCAGGGGAAACTGAGCCCAAGCAAACCTTTTCTCCTTTAAGTTGCAGCCACAGAAAACTGACTTAACACGGTCACATGGCTGCCATTTGGTAATCAGGTCCACTGCCATGGTATCAGTGTGCTGTGGTCCAAGGACCCTTATTCTCCTTTGTAATGACCCCAAAGCACAAGAAGAGTGATACTGGGAACTCAGACATGCCAAAGAGAAGACGGGAGTACTGCCTTTAAGTGAAAAGGTAAAGTTCTTAATGAGGAATGAGCAGAATCGTATGTGGAGATTGTTCAGACTACATTAAAAATGATTCTTCTTTTTCTTTGGTGCTGGGGATTGAGCCCAGGGTCTTGTGCATGCTAAATAAACCCTCCACCACTGAGCCAAACCCCCAGCTCCAGAATGAATCTTCTACCTGTGAAATTATAAATAAGAAAAAAAGAAATTAGTGCTACTGTTGCTATTTTACTGCAAACTACAAGTTCTGACAACCATGTCCGGTAAGTACTAGTTAAGATGGAAAGAGCATTATTTATATGTTGGGGTGGGGGAGAAAACACACATAGGATTCAGTATGATCCATGGATTTAGGAATCCACCAGGGGTCTTGGAACATATCCCTCACAGGTAAGGGGGGATGACTGTATATCTAGGTCAATAAAAGATTTTTTTTTGGAGGGCAGTACTGGGCATTAAACCTAGGGCTCGCTAGGTATGGTTGCACACACCCCTAATCCAGTGAGTAGGAAGGCTGTGGCAGGAGGATCTCAAGTTTGAGGACAGTTCCCCAGCAACTTGGCGAGACCCTATCTCAAAAAAAAAAAAAAAAAAAAAAAAGGACTGGGGATGTAGCTCACTGTGGTAAAGCACTCCTGGGTTCAATCACCACAGAACCAGCCTCATACATGGTAAACACCTGTCCTGTCAATGAGCCATGTTCCCATCCCCCAACCCAATAACAGATTTAATCACAGATAATTTTATTTTCCCTACAGATTTGAATAATACATTTTCTTCAAGTTCAAAAAATCTAGAAAAAGATTTTGCTAACATATTTGGTAAGTGACCACCTCATGTGTCACCTTTGGGCGGGTTCAGAGCTGCATCTTGTCTGTGGTGTCTCCTGGGTCACTTGCTCCTGCTGTTTTTGGGGGAAGACAGGTGCTTTGCCTTGTGGCTAGAATTAGTTCCTCCAAGTGTCAGAGTCCTGAGAAATTAAGCAAAACAGGGAGATAAACACTTGGAAAGGACTCAGCTCCTTATAAGAGGGCGAGGCAGCGGAGGCATCTCTCAACATGGGACAGGAACTCTGGGTTTGCTCTTCCTCCCCGTGTGCTGTAGAGAGGCCCCAGGAACCTGCATTGAGTCCATCCCTGGCTGCAGGGGAGCAGGACTGAAGGCATGGGGACTCACAGCTGGCTCTTGCACACCTGGTCACCGTGCTCCAGGGTTGCTGTCTAGGAACCAGAAGTCTGTCCTCTCCCTGTGGATGACCTGGGTCCTGCATCCAGTCCCTCCTGTGCAGGAGGGAGCATGTGCCTGTGCAGGAGAGACTGGCCTCAGGGCTTGAGAGGATGCTGTCACCCACCAAGGACATGCTGACCTGACCAGCACTGTGCCATGTTGGCCTTGGCAATACAAGGCATCACTGCCTTGCCAGCTTCTTTCTCAGCAGTCTTTTCAGGGACTTGTAGGTCAGTGCATTGATCTAAGAGAGGGTGGTGGGAGGACTCCCCATTTTCCTGGTGAGTCTGGGGTTCATTTTCTGGTGGGTCCCTTGTAAGTGCCTATTCTACCAAGCAAGTGGACCACCACTGAAGTGCAAGCTGCCCCTGGAAATGGACTCAAAATGTATACATAATGAATGAGATTTCTGCCTGGCATGGTGGCACAAGCCTGTAATCCCAGCAATTTGGGAGATAGAGGCAGGAGGATTGCAAGTTCAAGGCTAGCCTCAGCAACTTAGAAAGAACCTGTTTCAAGAAATAAAAAAGGATTGGAGATGTATCTCAGTGGTAAAATGCCCCTGAGTATAATTTCTAGTACCCAAAAAACCAAAAACCAAGGTGAATGGGATCTGTGATGGTTGCTTTCTGTGTGTTAGCAAAGAAAGTCCAGAAGGGTAAGTAAATCATCATTTCCTAGGTCAAAGCTTTAACAGGGGGCCTTACTATACAATCATGGCGACATAAAGATATTCTGGTCAGTGATGGCCTGTGTATTCGAAGGTGGTAGCCTATGTGTGTAAAAGACATGCCATCTTGGTTTGTGAAGGACCCTCTATGATGTTTGGGTCCAATGAAGAAATTGTCTAATGATGTGTTTCTCACATTGTTAAGTGACAACATGAATATATCTCAGTAAATGTCATTGAAAAAGCACTTAACAGTTTTATAAGCAGAGCACTTCCCGAACTTACAGAATCTGCTGAAACTCTCTGATGACGTTCTGTCTGGGTTGTCAGGTCCTTTGCAGTCCTGATATTGTGGAATCGTCACGGTCAGGTCCTCTCTTGTTCCAGGTCCTTCTCTGTGGGTGTGAGCTGGGTGTCATCCGCAGCCCTCAATGACTTCTCCAAGGCCCTAGTTGTAGCTTGATGAGTTCCTGTTCTTAGAAGGCTATCTCCAGGTGTCCTTTGTATCATACTCCAGCCCACCAGGGCAGCTGTGGGACCACGAGCGTCAGATTTCTGGTGAAGGGAGTTGACAGGGGGTCTAACATCTGTGGACAGGAAGGACCTTGAGGCCTCGGTAGGTTTAATGGCCAAGAAGATCCAGATCTCAGATGTCACGGTTTAGATATGAGGGGTCCCCCCAAAACTTGTGTGAGACAATGCAAGTATGTTCAGAGGTGCAATGATTAGATTACGAGAGGTGTGACCTAATCAGTGGATTAATCTGATGTGGATTAAACTGGATGGGGACTGGGGTGTACTCTTGGGGCTTTCTTTTGTCTCTGGTGAGCAGAGAGAGCTTTCTCTGCATTCCGTGGCCATGGCCTGAGCTGCCTTCCTCTGCCATGTTTTCTGCCGTGATTTTCTGCCACGACTCAGGCCCAGAGCTATGGAGTCAGCCGACCATGGACCGAACCTCTGGAACTGAGCGCCGACATAAACCGCTCCTCCGAGTGGTTCTCTTGAGGTCTTTTGGTCACAGCAGTGAGAAAGCTGACTACAACACCACCCCTCCCTGGCAGCTTCATTTCCTCCTGCTCTGCTCTGCTCAGCTGAGGGCTTGTATCTGGGACACTGTGGGCCTGGCTGGTTTTCTTCCTCTCCTCTTTGTCCCCAGCTAGTTCCACTGCTGTATGTGGCCATGTGGGTGTGTCTGGTCAGGCGAGTGTCTACCATCTCTCATGTCTGAATGACTCAGGCCAGGTGCCAGTTCCCCTCTGCCTCCGAACTCCCAGCACCTCATACAGCTTCTGTGCTGAGCTGGGGCTTTGTAAAAGTGTGATGTATCAACAGTACACAGTCTTCTGCCCTCTCCCAATCTCCTCGGGCATTATGATCTTCAGGCACCTGAGCTTGGCTCCTTTGTGAAGTGGCCAGGATTGTCTCAGGATTGTCCACAAGTCGCCGTAGTGCCTTGCCACGTGAGAATGTGATTTGATTGCAGTTTCTGGAAAATCTGACGTAGAGTGGCTTAAACAAAGAGTGATCTGTCTTCTGTCACAAACAAGACGAGGAAGGCAACTATGACTTTCATGCAATAGCGCAGATTAGGGACAGTTTTTCTGAGATCATCATGGACTTTCCTGAATTGTGTCTCTTGGTCACAGGACAATTTCTGCAGCTCCAGACATAACAGTTGCATTTAAGGCAAGAGGGAAAAGGGTTGGGGGACATGCAGCCCCAGCATTTCTTTCTCTTCTATCCTCCTGGGTCCCAGGAGTCTTCTGAGGACCTTGAGTGTCCCAGGACCCTGGCCCGGCTGCCAGGGAAGGTGGAAAAGGAAGAGGCTCCCTCTGAGGGCCTGGCTCTCCAAGCTCCAACAACAGTTAGGTGTGGAAGAAGGCGAGAGTCGCCTCGGGGTGGAAATGCACAGAGAGAACCTACAGCAGATCCCCCATTTTTCTGTGAGATGTTAGTGACATCTTTGCTTCCTTTGAATTGTACATCTTTTTCTCACCTCCCTTATCTACATATTCCACTTATGCAAGATTCCAATAAGCAGGAAATTAACAACGTTCACGCTCTGATCTGGGGTTAATTGTCATAAAAGATGATGATGAGCTGTTCTGCCTTCTGCGAGTCCTCTCTCGGGCCCTATGCTAAATGCTTTAGGGACATTGTTATAGTCAATGTTTCCAAAGTCTTAAGAGTTCAGTGGTAGTATGCCCATCCTATGTGGCAGGAAACCAGAGATCCAAAAGGGGAAGTTACTTCTTGAGATCATGTCTGGGCAGGTAGCCCAGGAGGGATTTGAGCCTAGGTGTGCCTGTCCCAAAGTCAGGATTCTGATTGTGAAAATCTTCCCAGGAGAGCAAATCGGGTCTTAAAGGAGGAAATATTGTGATTCTTGAAGAAAAAAAGGTCTTCTTATGCATGGTGACAGATTGGGGATGGCTGCCGGGAAGGGGCAAGACAGAAGGGATGGCACCAAGTATCAAGAGACAGGGACGGACACGGTGGCACACATCTGCAACCCCATAGCTCAGGAGACTGAGGCAGGAGAACAGAGGGTCCAAGTCAGCCTCAGCCACTTAGCGAGGCCCTTAAGCAACTCAGTGAGACCCTGTGTCAAAATAAAATATAAAAAGGGCTGGGGTGTAGCTGAGCATCAAGCTCTCCTGAGTTAAAACCCTAGTAATATATATATATATATATATTTGGGGCAGAGTTTCAATTATGTGTCCTTAGAGGACAATGTCAACTGCCCATATCTAGACAGTCACAATTCTCCAGAAATGACTGAGGTGGTTGGAGTTTCCTTCCCCAAGGAAGACGTGAGAGCGCACAGTGTGCCTGTCCATAGAGTCTGTGGGGTCTTCTCCCCTCTGTGGAGGCTTTAGTCAGGCACATTTTGCTCTGGCCGGGCCTCGTGGTCTACAAGGATGAGCTAACTTGCCTTTGCTCTTTCCCTTGAGATGAGATTCTCCTGCAGGTGCTTTCCAAAGACCCATACTACACCAGTTTGGTTGAAGGAGGGACCGCAATCACCAGGAGCCTCTTGAATGAAAGCAAGTATATGTCATGGGCCCTGTGAGTGCCCTGTTCCATAGGCCTGTGCGGTGTCCTAGGGGATCCCAGTGTCATTTAACATTGTGGAAAGCAGCTGCTGGTGGGGAAAAGCATTTGAGATGTGGAGGGAGGAGCTGTCTGAATCCTCTCACTAGCTTTCCATCAGCTGTGGGAGCCTCCAATGTTCTAAAGCGTGATTATCCCTAAATTTTGGAATGATCCCTGATGTGCAGTGTCAGGTAGGTTCTGCTACTTGGAATGGTGCTCAGAGCACAGGAGCCCCATTTGCAGGTGGAGTTCACTGTTTTTTGTTCACACAAGCTGTGTGTAGGGTAATAACTTTCTTTTAAAAAATATTTTGTTGATATCTATCTATTTATTTATATGCGGTGCTGAGAATCAAACTCAGTGCCTAACCCATGCCAGGCAAGTGCTCTACCACTGAGCCAAACCCCAGCCCCTGTAATAACTTTCTTGACATTCACACTCTATGGTGCTGATCATGAGGGCTCCAGTCCCTGGCCTGGGTGACCAGAGCCTTCCCATGTCCTCACCATCAACCGCCCTCCTGTCTCAGCTCTTGTAAAATATTGGCCCAGAGCAGCAGAGCTGATTTCTTCTGTAGCACTAATCCCCTAATGCCAAAGCCAAGAGCAGTCAGCTGGCCACCTATGCCAACCCCATGCACATTAGCCCCACATAGTCCCAAACGCTCTGCCCGTGTGCCATATTGAATTTATAAGACTATCTGAAAAAGCAATTTTGAAACTAATGATCTTATTGCTGACTTTCATAAGTCCCTTGATGAAGAAAGGGTGAATATTTCACTCCACTGTCCTGAGAGTGTTGCCCTGCACCATGTCTTATCATGCTCCCTGGGCTGACAGGAAATACACCATAGTGTTATCAAGTGCTGGAAGGATTAAGTGTATCTAATCCTGATGATCCAGTGTCTCCTTGACAGAGTCCTGTGCATTTGTCATTGACTGGGTCAGAGTAGTCCCGCCTGATGTCACTTGGTATGTACCATCCTGGCCTCTCTGTTAGTTTTCCTGTTGAATTCATGCTGTCGGTGCCTAAGTCGCACAGTTGCCATCCATCATGTGAACAGGGGCTTTGTCACTGGTTTGGTGGTAAAACACGACATTTTTGTAGCTGCTTCACACATGCTCCGAGAGGCTCAGAATAGGCATCATGGCCAACCGCATGGTACTCCTCTCAGGGCACCTTGCAGGAGAGTATGACTTTAAAGTCGACGTGCAGACTCTGTGAGAGGTTTAATCATAGCTAAGGTTTCTTTTCCCATAGATGATCTCCAGGAAAGCAACTTGAAAACTCCTGAATTTACATCAAGTTCAAATGAGAAAGATAAGCATTTGGCTAAATTATTTGGTAAGTGACCTCCTCATGGAAACCTTTAGGCTGGCTTAAGTCCTTGGTTGTTTCCCAGGTAACCTGTTCCTAGTGCTTTGAGGGGAAGGCAAACTCTGTGTCTTGTGGCTATAATTAATTCCTCTAAGTGTCAAGGTCTCGAGAAATTAAACAAAATATGGAAGATAAACCCTTGGAAAGAACCCATTCCTCACAGAGTGATCCAGATGGCAGCACCAGGAGCACCATGTGGGCGCAGGGAAATGCTCTGGGGGTTTTTAAATAGAGAGAGTCTGCCCTGCCCTCAGCAGTCAGATTCTGTGTTGTGTGGGGAGAGCTTTGCATCAGTAGTTTTTAAAGTCCTCCAGGGATGCTCCACTCTGCCTCCTTAATCCAAGACTCTTAATTACTATATGAAAGAAAGAAGAAAGAAAGAAAAATATAAAAACAACCACCTATGGTTCAGGTGGAAGATGGTGGGGTGGCACTCTCCAGGACTTTTCCCCTTCACCCAAACAACAACTGTCTTAGGAAGAACAATCTTCAATGGACACTTGTGAAACACTTGCCATGCACCCGGTGACCTTGGGCAAGGGACTGATAGGTTTGTAAATGTCAGCATTTCATGTAGCAGCTCCCATTCTCCATCCCCAGCCCTGTGGCAGGCTGATGTGAGGACAGCAGTACATGGTCCTGGATCCCCACGGGCAACAGGGACACTGTCCTCCAAAGCTCAGGATGTATGTTTTGGTTGCTGATTGTTGCTTTAGGTCACAGAAGAGCCAGCACCTAGCCTGGCCATTGGTTAAATCTCCACAGGCTGAAAAGGCCCTGAAACCACTCTGTGTGCAGGGGATTTAGAGAAACAACACTGTTTTGCTTTTCTCCTTTATCAGGTCATTGGTTGACTCAGAGATAAAAAGAGGAACAGCACCCCACACAATAAACAATAAAAACACTGTAACTATAGTTTAAAGCTATCACAAATGGATGCTTCCATTCCTTAACAAGCAGAAGTCAGCAATCCTATGGAAATGTGAGGATTATGCTTTATAAGTCACCAAAACACAGTACTCAGAATGTTCAGCTTAAACATAAAATACAGAA